GTAGTGGCATCCACTTCCTAAACAACATGCCTCCAGAAACTCTATGGACTTTGCTGAATGTTGATAATACTCGACTCTAAAGCAATCAACAACAACATATAGTTAGTAGTATATAATCCAGTTAGCAGTCAGGACACCTTCCAAAATGTACTCATAGGCACTTTGTAGCTTTGTGCCAGTGTTAGAAATGCTCAGTCTTGCTGATTATGGCTCTGCTCCTCTTCCACCCCCATCCCAGGCCTCCAAAAATTTTGTGCAAAGGCCCTTAGCTCTGGTTCTATAGAGGGTAGCAGTACCAAGGTCAGCTCTGTTTCATGCGAGGTCCTCTGGTCCTCTAGTTTGACCACTGCTGCTGCTTCCGCTGTAAGCCTAGCTGGCACAAGAATCTCTGCCCCCAAAGGACACATATTGTATGCCTGTTTCTCCTTTGCTTAGTGGTGTTTCAGCTGCTGGATTTGCTCAATTTCATGGTGAAACTAGTCAATCCTCTTGTGAGCTGGGGAGACTTGCCAATCCCCTTGTGGACAGGCTATTTACATATACTCACCCTATTTGTATACTTCTGTTTATCCACATGGCAAAGTAAGTTAATGGACAGGGAAGCCATATTGAACATTAAGTCCTTAACACCACACCAGCCTTGCCTCAAAGGAACGCTCTGGATGACTCTTTCTGAGACATATCTGTTCTTTTGGCTGTTCAAGGGATATTCAATACTCTTCTTGAACACTACAAACTCAAAGGCCTCAATTTTCTTCTGTCATTCTTATTCACTGCTTTCAGATATATAGCTACTGATTGAAAAGAAACGGCCTGAATCAAACACACTTTGTTGTTGTTGTTGTTATGTGCCATCGAGTCGCTTGCGACTCATAGCGACCCTATGTACAACAGCCCTAAATTCTGCTCTGTCCTGTGTCAATCGCACTGTCTCTGACACTCCCATCCCGATTATCCCAGTCACTGAATCAACCCACCTCATAGAGGGCCTTCCCCTCCTGCGCTATCCCTCCACCCTCTCAAGCATGATGTCCTTTTAGTCTTCAAATTAACTTGTCCAGTGCAATACATCTTCTGATCTTCCTGACTGCTGGTACCAATGATGTTGATTGTGGATCCAGGTAAGGTGAAATTGTTGACAATTTCAATCTTTTCTCCACTTATGCTATTGCTTATTGGTCTAGTAGTAAGAATTTTTGTCTTCTCAATGTTGAGATGCAACCTACATTGAAGGCTGTAGTCCTTGATCTTCAGCAACAAGTTTCATATCCTCCTCACTTTCAGCAAGGAAGGTTGTGTCATCTGCATAACACAGGTTGTTGATGAGTCTTTCTTCTGTCTTGATGCCACATTCTTCTTCTATAATAGAATCCGGCTTCTCAAATGATTTGTTCAGCATACAGATTGAATAGGTAAAGAGAAAGTATAAGACAGCCAGATGAAGATACCATAAATACGGCCTCACCTCAGTGCCACATTGCCTCCTCCACTACTTCTTTTTTGTTCTTTTTATTTTTTAAAAAAATAAAGCTATCCTTGCTTTTAATCTTCATTTCTACCTTCTCACCTTTCTTCTTGGCTTTGTGCTCCCACAGAGTCTCAGCCTCCACTCTCAGTGTAGCGCTCCAACAAGGCCTCAGCCTGCAACAGGATTATTCTTAGCAAGTCCAGTATCGGCCCCCATGCTGTACGCTAACATCGCCTCTCGCAGGGAACACTGAGATTGCCGTGTGCTCTGTGCCACTTTGGTAGCTTAGACACTGCCGCTCCTCTAACAGCACAAGACACAGAATCACAAAAACACTCTAATAACCTAATCCCCAGTGGGGCTTGTGCATAATTGTCCCCCAATAGGACCTGCATGTCATCTGCATGTCCTGACTCAAGAGTGTGTGTCTACCGCAATCCCCATGCTCTGCTGCAGGATCACCAGGTCCCAAGGGGATTTCAGAATCCCACTCAAGAGACTCGTCTTGCAGGCTGGAGCTTGAATATTTATTACCCTGAATGGTACAAATGGACTATGCTCAACTGCTAACTCAAATTCTGGAAGTTCAAACCCACCCAACAGCTCCACAAAAGAAAGGTATGACAGTCTATTTGAAACAGCAGAGAAAACCTTGTAGGGCACGGCTGCTCTGTAACACAGGGGTCTCCATAATACAGAATGAACTCATCGGCGAAGGGTGTGGGTTGATTTATGAGTGAAATAACCTATTTGTACTGTGAATGAAAGCTGAGCAGACTTTGCAAAAGGGGGTGTTCATAGGTGGGGGGGTTGTTGTTGTTGATTGGCATTAAGTCGAGCATTACCCATAGCGACCCTGTGAACAAAAGGCCTACAGCGTTTCTATAACTATCATCATTTATCAAAGTTGACAGAGTTTCCAGAGGCATGTTGCTTAGGAAGTGGATGCCACTCCTGCTTAATCTAATAACGAGAGGACAAGAGCTGAGTTAAGAAGAGAACCACAACAAATTCAGGGAAGGACAGGCACCAGGAGCCTTCAGAATCTCCCTCGCCTATCTTTCCTGCCTTCCTCCTTGCCTGCCTCTGAGGCTGCACTGCTGGAAGCTTCTATGGAGAGAGGAATCCCCTACTCAACCTGACTTGCTATGTGTGTGGTGGGGGTACAGAGAGAACCTAGACTCAGTCTTTTCCAGAATGTTCCTGTATCCACAGCCTACTGCTGAAATCTCACAGGATGCAGGGAGATGAGTTATCTGTAATGAGGTCAGAGAGTGGACCTTTGGCCCATTGTCTTTGTAGGTAGAAGGGGTAAGCTTCACTTCTGTGAACAGCAGGGGACCTGGCGCTATCTCTGTGCAAATCTACAGCACTCTGGAACGCAAGGAATGTCACTTTTCTTTGCTCTCTGAACCAAACCAAACCTGCCCAGCAGTTGGTTCACTGCCAGCAGTAAGGCTGCACCTTCACAGGACAACAGCAGCCCCTGAATGCTCACATGTCAGCTTAGGCCTCAGGCACCAGCAAGACCACCCATCCTTGATGTCCTGAGGTCTGCAGGAGGCCAGTTCAGGCCTTCCATGTCCCATCACATGGCCCTTCACCAGCTCCTGGCCCCATCACCTCATGCTCCACCTTGTGTCTCCTCATGAACTCCCAGCACTGCCTCTGGGTAAGCTGCTTTCTTACCTCTAGGAATCTGGGCTTTTCTAGAAGCAAGACCTGGCTGTGCTTCTCTGGGCCAGGGACACCAGAGCTTGAGGGCTTGGAAGGGGGCAGAACACAAACACTTCTAGGAATCCGCTTTGTGGAAACACTGTTTAGCCGAGGGTTATTTTGGTTTTTTGTCTCATGGACATGGAATCTCAGTCTCCCTTCCTGTGGGAGTCTGGTGTGATGGTCAATAATGGCCCTTCTCTGCCTTATTCCCATCACTTTCCTGTATCTATTCACTGTCCTCTCTCCATGTTTTGTCTCCTGTGCCATAGGCCTCTGTGATTGCTTGAGGACTTTGAGGAGAAGAAGTCAGTAAATGAGTAATCAACAAAGGGGAGCTCTCACCCTCTACAGACAAGGCCATATGTCCCTGAGATGTGAGCCCATGAACAGGTCGCCATGGGCACCCCCGGGCCTCCCCCCAGCCAGAAAGTACACACATAGTGGTTCACCTGCAGGAACCCTGCCCGGTTGCTTCCTTGCATGTGGGGTAGACCACATGTGCTAATCCACTGAAACCTAGTTCTACTCACACCATCTGGAATGCAGACAGAGACAGAAAGACACAGGGAAGGGGTGGGTCAGGAGAGGAAGACCTAGACACTGAGATTGAGAAAGATAAACAGACACACAGAGAGATGTGTGGATAGACAGAAGCAAATAGAAAGTGTGGATTATGTATCACTAAAAACCAATCAAGAATTCATGAACTACTATACAACATGGATTAATCAAGAACAATTTATGCTGAGTGACACAAGTCAGTCACAAAAGGGCAATTACAATAGATCACTGTTATTAAAAGCTGAGGAAGCTAGCAAGGCATGGGGGCCCGGCCCATTTGTTCCTTTGTGACCACTGCAGAGCCTGGATGCCCTGCACGGGGTGCCCCAGATCCCCCATGCTAATTCATCCACTGCTGAGTTCAAGGGGCTTATAGCCCAAGCCACAAGGAGCTTTAACTCCTCTTAAGACCAGAAAGTCTCGTTTAGAGTGTGTCATGATATTAGATCTTGACCTAAAGTAATGGAAAAAATAAAACAAAGATCAATTTCTAGAAGTGTTCTTGTCTGCCTACTGTCAGTGAAGTGTTCAGGACAGGAAGGTCACCTTGAAAAGGGCTCTCTCTTGCTCTACCTGCTATGGTGTCTTCGGATCTGCCTTTCCCCCTGACTTCACTCAGGAGGCAGCCTTTATCGTCTGCCTGCTGGTCTCTCCCTCTTTCCAGGAGGCCATGCTTTGTGTTATTCCTTATCTCCACTTTGTGAGTCATGAGCTGGGAGAATTATTCAGAAAGAAAAGAGAGTGAGCATGGGTAGTGACAATCAGAGCAAGGAAGAAACCTGCTAAAAACATTTGGTGCTGGGGAAAACCCCTTTGTGGTCCTGGAGTTCAATCATTTTCGCTACAGATAAAAATGCTGCACCCTCTGCCCTGTCCAGAGTGCACTTTTCTCGGTTTGTATGACCACATCCCTTCTCAGAAGGATCCCTAAGGTGGCCATTCTTGGAACTCCTTTCCTTCTAGGCACCTTCCTGGAGATGTTTCCGTGTATGTGTTCAATTTTTGTTCTGTCAGTTACTGTTGATTCCGTTCTGACTCATGGCACTTTCTACACAAGAATGAAACGTTGTCCAGTCCTGTCCAGTCTTCAGGATTGCTCATTGCTCAAGTCCATTGTTTTGGCTTCTGTGTATATTGAGTGTTATCCGGCCTAGAGGGGTTCTTCTTCTAGCATTAGCTCAAACAATGCTCTATTGTAGGAATTTTATTGGCTAATTAAAAAAAATTATATAGCTCTTTTCTGGTTACTGCGATGCTAAGAACCATGAGTGGCAAAGTCTCTCGAGACACCCTCTACGAGGTGGTGCGGGAAGTCCTGCACGGGAACCAGCACAAACGCAGAAAGTTTTTGGAGACGGTGGAGCTGCAGATCAGTGTGAAGAACTATGACCCTCAGAAGGACAAGCATTTCTCGGGGACCGTCAGGCTTAAGTCCACCCCATGCCCCAAGTTCTCAGTGTGTGTTCTTGGGGATCAGCAGGCCTGTGATGAAGCCAAAGCTGTGGCTATCCCCCACATGGACATCGAAACACTGAAAAAACTTAACAAGAATAAGAAACTGGTCAAAAATCTGGCCAAGAACTGTCATGCCTTTTTGGCCTCTGAATCCCTGACCAAGCAGACCCCAAGAATCCTAGGTCCAGGCCTGAATAAGGCTGGCAAGTTCCCTTCTCTGTTGACCCACAATGAGAACATGGTGGCAAAAGTAGATGAGGTGAAGTCCACCATCAAATTCCAGATGAAAAAGGTCTTGTGTGTGGCAGTGGCTGTTGGCCGTGTGAAGATGACAGGTGATGGACTTGTTTACAGCATCCACCTGGCTGTCAGCTTCCTGATTTCACTGCTAAAGAAGAATTGGCAGAATGCTCGGGCTTTGTACATCAAGAGCACCATAGACAAGCCAGCATCTGTACTAAGATATAGCTCAATATTTTATATATTATATGCTAATCATCGGACCTCGGGC